GAACCCTGGTTTCATCACTAAAAATACCTATCCAATTGAGAAAATCCAGAGCATAGCCTACAGCATATTCTTCAAGATCTACTTTCTCTTATCCTAATGACCCCAGTGAAAGGTTTTACATAAGCTTTATCTATTCACCTGAAAGGAGTAAGTGGCTATCTTCAATTTCTCCACACTTTCTGATAGTTCTACCTAAAACTAATATTGATTCAAAAAACCAAACAGATTCTGAACTGTGTCCCGAAAACAGAGTTGACAGAGTCTCTGGAATGTCTGCTCCCCTGAGTGACTTGACTCAGCTCAAATTTGAAAACCTGGGAGGAATATTTCCTAGTCTCATTCCTACTATTGTCCCAACTTTTTCCCTCTCTGTTAGTGTTTCCACAAAGCATACTCTTGGCTAAATGTTGCACAGGAATCCTTTTTTTTTTCTTAATTGAGTCTTCTACTATTTTTATTTATGGATCCTGTTCAGTATTTCTGAGTCACAATCTGTTACTCCTGAAAATCTTTGTGTTTTTTTTTTCTTTTTACATTATTTATGAAGCGTCCTCTGCCTATTGTGTAGTTTCATCTTTTGAATTTACCCCTAGAGTTTTCAGTAAAAGAAAATCTGGACACAGGTGCTTAAGTGATGCTGAACAATTCCAAATAAATCCACTAGAAAACCTTTATAAGAGGAAATAAAAGTGTATTCACTAAAGTACAAAATAAAGGAGAAAAATCTATTTTTGCTCAACTAAATTGAGAAAAAGAAAGCATGAGGGGACTATGTTTAGTTTTATAACATATCACAGGAACTTGTGGAAGTTTCCCAAAATATAATATATAATTTAAACAAATTCAGAAATATTTCCTAACTGCTATTTGATTATTCTAAGACCTCTGGGCTTGCTGTAAACAAAACAATCTTTCCTTCTTACAGCTCTCATACAGTTGAATTAATTTTTAATGGATAAAAGTGGTTTCACACTTAGAAATCCACTACAGTTTAGTTACAGAAGGATTTTTGTTCTCTGTTCCTAATTGCAAAATTTTCTGCTTGCTCAATAAATAAAATCCTGAGACTATTCTCTTGTTACTTAATCTTTTGATTAGTTCTTCCTTTTTGCACTTTACTTCAGAGACTACAAAGAACATATTCAATAAATTTCCTATTTTCTCCAAAATTAAAATTTCACCAGAAAATAATGGGTCCGACTGGACTCGCATAATGAGAAGTTAAAAAAAGCTTTACACAGAAGTCACAGATATCCAAAGGTTGATAGTCAAGCTTTAGAATGAATACTGTAGTTTCCTTTCCTCGAAGCTGAATTTACTATGAAGCATGTTTGACCTTGTGTCCTAGAACTTCCCAGTGGGAATGAGCTACAGTTGCCCACTCTAGTAACTGGCTGTATAATATTTTTTTTTGGTTTTTTCCCTTCCCTAGCTCACTTCCTTTCTCCTTTATCAGTGTGTCCTGAGATCACCTCCCAAATAAACCGGTTGCCATCGAGTCAATTCTGGCTCATGGTGGCCCCATGTGTGTCAGAGTAGAACTGTACTGGTGGAGATTTCAATAGCTGATTTTTCAGAAGTAGATCACCAAGTCTTTCTTCCAAGGACTCAAACCACCAGCCTTTTCGGTAGCAGCCAAGCGCATTAACCACCCAGGGACTCCAACTATATAAATTACTTATACTAAATCCTTGTCTCAGAATCTGCTTCTTGGGGAACCCAAATAAAGACACATCTCCAATATCTTTCTATTCCATAGCACCTGTTCCTACCCTTCATCATCCCAAATAACCATTGTGCTTGAAAACTTCTCAGCCAACCCAAAAATCAGCCAATTCTCCAAATTCTCCCTACAACCAATACTTGCTCTTCCTGTGCTCATGCTCTAAGACTCTGATCTCTGCTGAGAAACTTAAATTAGAACATGATGTTCAGATGCAGCTTGTTTTGGTAGAAACAACATAATAGGGAAATCAAAAGAACTTGTGCTAGGTTTATAATTCATTACTTGGGTAACCTCAGTCAAAAAACCCTTCAGGCTGAAATTGTTCATAGATGAAATGAAGACAATGAAAGCTGACTAACAACTGCAATGAGCTAAGAGATATAAAAGCATTTGTGAACTGGAAAACTTAGGGTGAAGAGGACACCATGTTCAGACAATTTTCCCATCTTAAGAAGTACCTCCAATGACAGTACAGCCTAATGTTTCAAAGCTCAGACCCTTCAAAGGTGAAGGAGTACTTGGGGATATAGGAGTCTTCATGAATTGCTGGTGTGAACAAAGATGGGCATACTCATCCAGGAGAGCTATCTAGGAGGATTTAGTCACATTAAGTACATGCCTTCCTTGTGACTAAACAATTTAGTCTTGCATATATGTTATTGTTGTTGTTAGGTGCCGTCAAGTCAGTTCCACAACAGAACAAAATATTGCCTGGTCCTGCGCCATCCTCACAATCACTGTTATGCTTAAGCCCATTGTCACAGCCACTGTGTCAATCCATCTCGTTGAAGGTCTTCCTCTTTTTTGCTGACCCTCTACTTTACAAAGCCTGATGTCCCTCCTGATAACTTGCCCAAAGTATGTGATTCAAAGTCTCACCATCCTTGTTTCTAATGAGCATTCTGGCTGTACTTCTTCCAAGACAGATTTGTTCGTTCTTCTGGCAGTCCGTGGTATACTCAATGTTCTTCACCAACACCATAATTCAGATGTATCAATTCTTCTTCGGTCTTCCTTATTCATGGTCCAGCTTTCACATGCATATAAGGCGATTGATAAAAAACCACGGCTTGGGTCAGGCACACCTTAGTCCTTAAAATGACATCCCAGAGAAATTCTCACAAAGGTCCTCAAAACGGCTCAGGGAAGGATGTGTATCACAACCTTTTGTGGTAGAGAGGACCTGGAGGCAACACCACTAGAGGCGGGTAGGTGAAACGTGACAAGGGTGCACTATATGTTGTGAAGAAACAATCACTAGACATCTACAGAGCAATGTGGATAGAGCTTAAAAACATAACGGTGAGTGAAAAGAAGAAGAGACAGAATATAGACCATGATACCATTTATATTTATTAAACACATGCAGACAAAAACAATGCAAAACTTCAAAAAATATATATATAAGCAAAAGACCTTCACTGAACACATAAGAATATGTACCTATGGCAGAGGAAAGGAAGACAGAAATTGTAAAAGATAATCAATTATCCAGTACAACAAGTACAAACGAGAGGGCCTTGCCCAATGACAGCAATCTGCTGTGAACTGAGGAGTGTAGCCAACTCAACCTTCTACACCTAAGATCCAAAAATGAATGGAAAAATGACTGGCCAAGTGATTGAGTAAATGGCTTAGTTAAAATTAGATTACCTGGATTTGAATCCTGCCTCCACCACTTACCAGCTTGGTTTAACCATTTGGAACCTGTTCTCACAAATCTAAACATGGATACTAATGTTACCTACCTCACAGGCTCATTGGGAAGGTTAAATTAAATTCATGTGAAGCACTTGGTATGGTGCCTGACGCAAGAGCACAGTGAATGCTAAAGATTATTATTAATAATAATCTAAAGTGATTAATAATAATCCAAAGCAGTTTGAGATCTCTTTAAAGTGTTAAAAAGCAAAGATATCAGTTTGAGGACAAAGGTGCTCCCAATCCAAGCCACAGTATTTTCAATTGACTCATATGCATGAGAAAACAGAACAATGGATAAGAAAGACCGAAGAAGAATTGATGCCTTTGAATTATGGTGTTGGGAAGAATACTGACTGCCACCGACTGCCAGAAGAACAAACAAATCTGTCTTGGAAGAAGTACAGCCAGGATACTCCTTAGAAGTGAGGATGACGAGACTACATCTCACATGCTTTGGACATGTTATCAGGGGGGACCATTCTCTGGAGAAGCACATCATGCTTGGTAGAGGGTCAGTGAAAAAGAGGAAGACTCTCAACGAGACAGATTGACACAGTGGCTCCAACAATGGGATCAAACATAACAACAATTTTGAGGATGGCACAGGACTGGGCAGAATTTTGTTCTGTCATACATAGGGTCACTATGAGTTGGAACTGACTCGCCGGCACCTAACAACAAAGCAGTTTGGTAGAGTAGTTTTTGTCTGGAGGAAGAGGGATGAGCAGAGAGCTTTACTAAGTCTCCTCTGCGACTAAGAGGTGAGAACCAGAACTGCTGTGTTTTCCTTACTGTGTGTCATCCTGGGCTTCCCAGCTATGCAGAAGGAGATAAGAAGGAAACCACTTAGAGGAGGCTAGGACAGGCTGATGGGAAACAACTGACATCTGGGAAAGAGATGAATGTGGCCAATGTGGTGGGTGTCGGTTATGCTGGAAAGTGGTCTCCCAGGACTGCCATCACTGTGTAGTTTGCTCCGCTGTCTTCTGTTCACAGATTATTGTAGGAGCTGACTTTGGGTAGCCTTCACAAGAATCACATGGTGATGGGCACAGAGACAGTGATATCAGAGACATTCCAGTGACATGATGCTCAGCATCACAGGACCACCCCAGTACACAGCCTGTCTCGGCAGCACAGAAGCCAAACAGGACAGGAAAACAGTATATGTTAGGGTAAATGCCAACTTTCTCATGTTCAAGATCTCCCCAACAGACCCCTGAATATCAGAGCCTCCCTGAAATCAGACTCTTTATAAAACGTTTGTTTGTTTGACACCTAAAAAAGTGAAACAAAAATGTGAATAGAACCTGATTAAGTAATGTATACATTAAGTAAAACTAGTCTTGAAAAATAGTCAAAGCCATTCGTCTATTTACCCATGATTCCTCTTTATTTGGCTGCTAAGTATAGGGGGTATGTTAGTATTGCTCTCAGCTTGATAGAAGGCAGTAAGGCTCTAATAGTGGTGCGGGAAGCTGTCAGTGAGTCTCTCCTATGCTGGGTGTTAGTAGGGTGATTTTCTTAGTTCCACTGCTACATTGCAGTTCATAAAGGGATCACTCATTCTGAGAAAAATAAAAGTTAGATCTAGTGAGTGGTTAGCACCAGCATTCCAGAGACTTCAGCAGCCTGTGTTTGCAGTTTCTGCTCCAACTTCATTGCTGCAAAATAAGAGAATACAGTAGTCAGGTTGATGGAGATGAATAAATTCAGAAAAAATAAATACCCCTGAAAAGTTACACGTTAATATTGTCTGGGCATAGCATCTCATATAAAGCATGATTTATACTAGGAAAAATTTGTTTCTCTTCCCTCAGTAGCTGTTTTCCTGTTACACGGTTAATGGCATAATAAAGACTCACAGCTGCACCTTCATACCAGACTGTGATCCCTTGAGATGAGGTGGAGCAGTCCTGGTCTCCTCCAAAGGGTCAGGAAAGCTTTGAGGGGCTAGTGCAGTCTAAAGGAACAGAACTGCCAAATTGCACCCCTCACCCTTCAATCACTTGGCTACTGCCTTACCTTTCCTTAGCAGTGCCAGCATCATTCCCTAAAACATAACAACTAAAACAAGGAGAGGAAGTGAACAGAGACTGGATTAAGTCCCAACTTTTACAAAATGGAGCGTTAGAAAAGACAGAGACAGCAAAGAAACTTCTTGCTTGATTTTTAATATATTAATTTGATCAGCTTTGTCATGTTGTTATGTCATAGGGCCGTGATTACAATAATTCCTTTGTTCATTCAGTCTCAGTATGTTCATGTTTGATAGGGTTGGACTGTCTGGAACAGATAAGATAAACTGAACTGAGTGGAGTTGGGTATTGGCAACTATGAAGGCAGATTATACAACAGAAGAAAGAAAGTATAAAAGAAAGCATCAGAGATGAGGCCAGAAGAAAAATTTAGTCCTATAACGTTAGTCCAATTGGAACAATGTGACAGAATGACACCAGTGAAGGAGACAACTAGAACTTCCTCTGTCCAGGTACCAAATGATGGCTGACAATGGAGTATTCCAAAATGGCTGGTGGAGAAAGATGGCAGCCAGTTGCTCTTCTGTAGGCAACTCTGCCTGCTTTGCCCAGGGCAGGATCATAGGATGAAGACAGAGTGGTCTGAAGGAGTTGTGGCTCACAGACAGCTCCAAACAGAACATGAGCTATGTGCAAGAAGTAAGTAAAGTAAAAAAGAAACCTGAATATGGCATGGCCAAAGCAGATACGCAGGGCTGTTAAACATGGGTATGTTCTGCATCATTTAGGAGAAACAGCATTTGTTAGACTAGAAGAGGGAGGTAGAGACAAGGGGATAGCACCACCACTACTGCACTGACTTATTCTACCATTGAGAATGGCCAAGTAAGAGTCACGATATAGGAAGAGTTATAGCTTTCATCATCTAGGATCCTCTGAAGTTTTAGAATGAAGGGAGGAAAAAAAATTGAATTTTTTTTCCCTAACAAATAAAAACTGCTGTTCATTTAATCTTTTTGAAAGTACCACCAACATCTAGTATGTAATATCACAAGAGATTTAAAGAAGTCATTATCAGCAGCATTATGGCTAACACTTATCAAATGCTACTTACTTTATATGCTAAGTTCTTTACATCGTCCTTTGATCTCATTTTACAGAGAATGAAACCAGGGCTCAAAAAGATTCAATATCATGCCCAAGACCACATTACTCAAAACTGAACCTCAGTTGGGTCAATGTTTTCTATCTGTTTTGTTGCTATAACCGTTAGTTTTTGTCATACTAAAACATACATTGACTCTGCCTTGTGAGATGGTAAACTCTCTGTTACCAGAAGGATTTAAACAGAAAATATAGAAGGGGGGATGTTGTAGACAGGATTTTAACATTAAGTAAAATATTGAACTAAATACCATCTCTGTTCCATTTCAAATATAAGATTCTATAATTATGTGGAAAATTAAATCATATTGAAGAGGAACAGGTAGTTTACTCCACAACACCATGGCGGCCAACTCAGCACACTATTTTTTTGCTCTACCTGAACCCACTGGCGGATCAAAGTAATGTTTGGCACCACGACTGAGCAGCTGGTTCAAAATGATGCATTATGCTGTGACTGGTAGGGTCATGATTTTTTAGACAATTTGTGAAGTCTTCACTCTCCTTTGCTAATTTCAGTATAGGTAAGGTGCTAAACAGCTTGGGAAAAAACAAAAGTGGACATTTAAGAAAGATGAAAAGCAATAATAAAATAGCCCTTATTTTCAGACCAGCACCCTGGCAGTTAAGGCTTAATATTTTTTGAAACTGCCAATTGAACAACACATCAATTTGGATATAAGAAAATATAGATATGAAAGAACTTAATAAGACGTTTAGAAAATCATAACTAAGGTTGGAGTCAAATTCCTTTTTTTCTGCTTGGAGTTAACGTTGGATAATAAGTGATGTAGTCTTGTGAAACTTTAAGCTAATGTTACAGGAAGCATTTTTTAAAAGAATGTACTGTGTAAATTTACTTTTCATTGCTTTTTAATTCAAAAGAACTACGCATACTCTTTCTTGCCAAATGAAAGCTGTAATTTCCTAAAAGTGATCTATATTTATGTTCTTATAAATATGAAACCAGATCAGACTTTATGTATCTGAAACAAAAAGCCATTTCCAGAAAATATATAATATTTTTATAGGTTGGATAGTCATTTTTTCCTGAAACATTTTAAATGTATTTCTGCCTCTCAGTATTAACTTTGGTGTATAAACACAAAATCTAGTATCAAAATATATTCTCCGTATGCCAGAAACTATAAAACGTTCAGTAATTAAGGTCCTATAAAGTAGCATGATAGATAGAAAATGCAGGTATAGTGGACTCTAGAGAGTGCAATATTGAATTGAGGGTCAAAATCATCTAATATCTAGATGACCTCAGCTCCAAACAATTATTAACCTTGGTCTTATTCCTTTGTTTATTTCTCTTGAACAACTTGAAATAATCTTCCCAAGCCTCCATACAGAGGAGATGTAAGTTCTAATAGTTCCTAACTTCTGCTCAGCTTTGCAATGACTCATTACAATACCAAACTCAACTTTAAGCTAGTGAGATGACTTTGAAGGACAAAGCCCAGAACTGTCAAACCTCCACCCATTCTGTAGATTCAGCTGAGTCCCTAGAAGAGAAAAATAAGTGTGACCTGTTTCTTTGATTGCCTACAGTGGAGTCAGAGCCCCTCAGATTTCAGTTCAGGCCCTGTCAACCAGGTGGGGCAATTATAACACAGGCGAGACATGTTGATGAGCCCATTCCTGCCAAATCTGGGGATAGGAAACTCTGGGGAATTTCCTTGCCCACCTACATGCCTCTACAAGGTGACTATCCATTCAGGTGCTCATATTAGGGGCCTTTATTTTTATAAGACAAATTTACCCTGGCCCTCTAGCCAGTTGTCTATCAAAGCATATGAATCTGCTTTTAATTAGTCATTAATAATATCCAGATTCCAAGTTCTTGCCTGAGATTATTACCTTGAATTCTTTGCAACCCAAATTTTATCAAAGCTTGAATTTGAGAAATAATATTTATGGAAAATTGCCTGAAGGGAATAGAGTGTATCCATTCCACTTGACAACCTCATTTTCACTCTTGAATCAAACCAGAAAATGAGAATGGCTTCCTTGGACAAGTCACTGATTTTCTGTTCTCTATGTTTTCGTCTGTAGAATAAAGACAGAGGAATGGGATGTTTGTCTCATAAGATTAGAACCTCAGATGTCAATGGGGGTTCTGAAATTCAAAATAAAATGAGCACAAAAGCTTATATTTCACCACAACAGCCAATCAGTCATAGTCACCTTGTTGGCAGGGTTGTTATCTTGCCAACCCTTAAATGTTTATCAAAAATCTGCAAAGAGAAGGAATAAGAAAACAGAAGAAAATTTTGCTTAGTATGTGCTTTGTCAGCCCCTAGTGAATGATTCTCTCTCAAGTTGTGTTATTAACAAGGTGATCTCAAAGGTCAGAGAATCAAATGCATCTAATCAAGTTTTTGGAAATCAATTAATGATTCCCTGGGGAAATTCCTGCCTTGACCCTCAAATTGAAAATAAAATCAGCCTAGGGCTCATGTACCAAGATTGAAAAACTGATTTGATTGGCTTTTCTACACTGCCAGTGAAGAAGCGAAAACTTAAGGACCTCAACTCTTGTTGCACCTGTGAATCACCTGGGGGAGATTTTAACATACTTATGGTTTGCGGCGAGCCCTGGTGGCGCACTGGTTAAAACTCTTGACTGCTAACCGCAGCTCTGTGGGAGAAAGATATGATTGATAGTCTGCTTCAGCAAAGATTTACAGCCTTGGAAACCCTATGGGGCAGTTCTACTCTGTCCTGTAAGGTCACTATGAGTTGGAATCCACTCGACGGCAGTGGGTTTGGTTTTGGTAATGCCTTATGCCCACCTCCAGAGATTTTTGATATAATTTGCCTGGATTGGAGCCCTGCCATTGGTACGTTTAAAAAATGAACCAGATGATTCCAATGTTCCACCAGCGTTGAGAACCACTGAGCCAGATGATAAGTGGAAGTGTTGTTTTGAGTTAGTTCCTTTTAAATGTACTGTAGAAATCATGTGAGCTATAGAAATGATGGGTCAGTCAAGTCAGATAAACCTGAAACCTGTTTGCATTTAAAGGAATCTCCAAACTTATTTTAAAACAACAACAAACTATACATCTACAAATAGCATGATTGGATTCTAGAAACAGAGTCTGGTAGTGAGAAAGACAGGCTACTGTCTTTAGGAAATGAAAGAAAAACCCAGGGGAAATTCTGAGATCCAGTGAAGGGCTCTTCCGTATTCTTTATTTGTATTGGGTTTGTAACTGGAATAGTTTATTCCTTAGGCCATAGTCATAAGACCAGAATTGCTTTATAAAATGACATTTTTTTGGTTAATGTTTTATATGTAAATAAATAAGAAAGGGTTTGGGGGAAATACACAAGTCAGTATTACAGTCTGACCGTATGTCATAAGGAGTTGTAAAAAGTTGCCAAAATGTTACAAAATGTACCAATATTACTAAAGAGTAAAATACAGCACGCTGAAAGCATAAAAGGTCCTTTTGTTTAATTACTTACTTTTCTTATAATAACAGTAGTTAACTCACTGCTTCTCATAAATGCCAAACTTCTAACTTTAGTTTCTTTTATGATTTTTTCATATATTCCGAAACTGGGGTCAAAATAATTTTTGACATTTTATCAGAATGATGTTTTTTGGCTAGCTTAATTTTAAGTTTAGCCTCCAGAGGTGGAGAATTGATGCAAAAACAATGCAAATTCAATAGTTACCCTGTTCTCTTTTGCAACACAAAATCTTTCCCCTAAGATTCAGAGGTTTTTAATTTAGCTTTAATTAGCTGAACTGGGTGTTTTCAGTTACTTAAATAACTACCCAATTTTCTCCTATTGTGTAGATACCCCCTTATTGTGTAGATATAGCCTATGTGAACTGGAGCCAAAATTATTGCGTTTGAAAGAACGAGAATATGTAATTTTTTTTTACACTGATATGAAATGTGCAAAACTTAATTCAACTATTCTTCTATTTTGAACAAACATGTTGCATCTAATTTTTCGCTATTACACAATTTTCTACCATCACACTGAAAGGGCCAAGACATTTGACAAAGAGTTAATATCCTTAATACATAAAGGGAGTTTACAATTCAATAAGAAAAGTATTATCATACCGTAGAAAAATGCACAATACAAAAACAAAATAGACAAAAATAAGAGACTAAAGAATTTTAAAGATATAAATTAATATGAAAAAATAATTCCACCTTACAGAATGGCGAATAATTTGAAATATGATTTAAAAAGGGAGAAAGATTTAAAGACTAGACACAGTACAATGCTTAACTAAGAGCACAGGCTCCAAGGCAGTCAGATTTGGATTCAGTTCCTGATTGTACAGATACCTCACAGCTATTTGACTTTAGGCAATATATTATTACCCTCGGCTTCAGTCTCCTTATCTGTAAAATGGGAATAATAATAGCACTTAACTTACAATGTTTTGTGAAGATTAGGTATGATAATACACATAAAGTGTGTAACATTGTTTCCAACACATAGTATGCTCTTAAGAAATTGGTAATTATAATAATTCTCAAAGCTGAGAAGTGTGTAGGAAGGCAGGCTATCACACACTTCTGGGAGGGTGAATTGCTATAATTTTCCAGGAAATCAATTGGGCAATATGTCTCAAAAGTCTTTCAAATGTCCATAATCATTAAACCAGTATTTTTAGGATATTCTCTTAAATAATCAGGTCAAGGATACAAATCCGCACCTATTTATAATATACCTTTATATTTTAATGACTAATATTATGGCACAGAGCCACAGCAGTATCATACGATAGAGGTCTCATAATTTGCAGAACTAGGGATAAGTCAGTTCATGAAAGTAAGATAAAATCCCCTATTTGGGAAAAAATGTTTTGGGAAAAAAAATTCAAGTAAGTTAGGCCTTCCTTCAGAATTTTATTATTTCTGCTCTCTTTTGTATTATGCTTGTTTTATTTTTGTTTTCTAAACTTGGAGGCTGCAAAATTGAACTGAGCATGTTTTATTTGTGAGGGTATCTGGAATAATGAGTATGTTCATCCACTCCCTACTTCAAGATAAATCTTTATAACTTTTTTCTTTTTTTCTCATATTTTCTGCTTTATCTGACAGGATGTAGCTGGAGAAGATGCTGCTCAATTATTCTTGCTCTTGATAAAAAATTAAATAAACCATAGACAGAATATTTCTTTACAGCAATTTTTTTTCTTTGTCTCTTTGGGGTAGCATCCATAAAAAGAAAAGGAGATTATTTATTTTTGTTTGTCAGCTCAAAACATGAAAGTGATTAAACATTTTCACCAAATTTGGATGCTATGTTTGAGCTGGTCTGCTTTTACCAATATGACACATGCCATATGGAAAATTCACTTCTGAGGTGAAGGGGTGTTGCTCATTCAGCTAAGCTGTCATCATTCAGTGCAGCTAAAAATGAGATACCATGGGAAGCCCTGTGACTTCTGACCCAAAAGACACACCATTTGTATTATGAGGCATCCATGACTCTCTAGAGAAAGAAGACAACAGTGGTTTCACATATAACTCTCAAGGAGAAAATCACAAAGGCAGACACTCAGGATAGAAGGAGTTGGTTTGTGATCAAGGCGCTACACGTATGGGGAACTCTAGTACCACCTTCCACTTTGGAAAGCAGTAGGAATTTATTTATTTAGCTATTAGATGCTTCTGAACAACACAGGGTGGGTCAATGTAGTTGATTATTTCAAAGGAAAAAAAAGATGATTTGATTAACACTATTAAAAAATCAGATTGGTTCATTTTTAAATATAAGTGGATAAATGGATCCCCAAGTGTATCTTACATTTACCTCTTTGGAATCAAGAGTTTCATGTTCAGGAATAGCCACCATTGGAGGACTCAGCTTCACAGAAAAGATGGCCAGGATGTGATCAGGAGTAGAAGTGAGGAAAAATAAATATTTAAGTTTCATTTAAATAGATAGTTAGATGATGACATAAGCATATTATAAGCATTTTATTGCTGATCATAGAAGATTCTACCAAATGTAAACATTAAGATTCAATTATCATTTTAAGAGGGAGATATGTATTCTTAACTTAGAAAAAGGTTTTGACAGATGGTGAGCACTTTGAGCACAAGACCACATCTTATTTATCTTCGTGTCTCACATAAAAGTTCACAGTGCTTAGTATATTGCATTGACAGTCATTAAATGTTATTGAATGAATGAATTAAAAAACACACTGACAGATTTTACCATGAGGAAATGAAGTTAAATTTATGTTTCAATCCTCACACATAAACATCTAATTGAAAAGTTTAAAACAAAAGAGACAAATCATGTTCAGACTCACAGTAAATGTAGATGTATCTATAGAAAATAAATATTTACTGCAAACATACTTAAAGCATTGCGCATTATAGTGAATATTAATAATCCAATACAAGAGACTTTATACATATTGCAATCTTACCAGATGATGTTATTATAATGTAGTTTTCAACGTAGTGATACTTTAACAGAAGGGGGGTTCTTTTGCTTATATGGGAATTTTTATTATTACATTGGTCTTCTGAGCACCATACATAGACTTAAACATACTAAGATAGAAGTCGTAGGTACACAATAAAGAGAGGGGCACAGATAAACAGAGTGAAAGACATAAAGAGAAGGAGGGAGTAATTATTTGTTACAAAATCTGTTTACCCCTTGTTTGGCAATCACACTCTCTCTTCACTCCATTTTTAGGGTGATGGACTTAGCTTGCCAGGAACAGTCCCTCTCTCTGCTCTTGCCCTGGGAAAATCAGGGCTTTGGAAATGACTGGCCACTTTCACTCTCAACAGGATGCTGGTTTTTGCAATAACTCAATGGGACAGTGACTAGCTCCTGATCCTCCAGAGTGATTTACAGGAGCCAAGCAATTTAGCTTTGGCCCTGGGAGGATGCCAACACTGGCTTCTGGCGAAGCCTAGGAGGTGCCCACCTGACATTGCTCCAGGCATTGCTCTCTTCTGGCAAACTGTCAAGAATGGAGCCTGATTTTGTTTAAAGCTATGGGGTCACTAAATCTCAGCCATTATACGCTGTTCCCAACCATGAAATCCTCTGGGTATCATAGTATCAGAGCTCTTTCTAGCTGCCCCAGACCATCCCTTTAAATAGAAGTATGATCTGGTCCCAAAGCCAACTAGAGATTTAAATAGCATTCCAGAAAACAGCTGAAAGCATCTACTTTCTCCTATCATCAGTGTCTCCTGAGATCCTAAACATGGCTTAGGATAGGACCCTATGCACCACTTCAATCCTCAAACTCAAGTAATTGGTCCGGGAGACCACAAAATCTTTAGTATACCTAGGCTAAGTGATGCAGTATTTATATCGTTCATTGGAGTTTGTATAATGTCAAATCTCCATTCCCTTAATCTCCTCAGATGTAGTAGAATTATCCTGACATTTCAAAATGTTAGTAATACCCAATAAAATGTTCAGCTAAGATTGGAAAAGCCATTGAGTCATTACGTGATGCTTACTTTTACATTCTAGTCTTTCTTCCCAGTATAAATATTCATCAATTTAAATCCATTTCATTTTAATCTTGGATTTAAAAAACTATGTGTTTATTATTCTAATTAACAAAAGAGAACAGAAATGATTGATACAAATTAACTGGTAGTCCTCAATCATTTATATTCGGCTTTGGAATGCTTTGTTCTATTTACAACCTTTTATCTCAGTAGATTTGTCTTTTTATTGTCCCCAAGCTCACTAAAAATATACAGTAAACTGTGATATTAATATTTCATAAAGGTTTATGGATATTTAGTTATGATCATTTATTGTGTGCTCACATGGTTAATTCTTTGTATGTATTGTTCATTTAGTTTTCATAATATCTCAGTGAGGTGGGCACTACTACTATTCTGTTTCACAGATGAGGAAACTAAAGCATGGAGAGGCTGAGCAGTTTACTCAAGGTCCAGAACTAGCAAGTAGTGGAGCCAGGATTGGAATCCAAGGTGACAGTCTTCAGAAACTGCACTCTTGAAGCAAGTGTGAAGTGAAAATCTTCCACTGGGAAAACAGGCAGGGGAGAGGATAGAGAAAGACAAGAAGCAAATGGTGTGTGCCACTTAGCAAAGGAAAAGCCACTTACTAAAGGCAAAGACAGAAGAAGATTAAGACTAAGACAGACTAGGAAAAAGACCTTGCAATCTACTTTCGAAAATTGGCCAATGAAAACCCTATGGATCACAACAGAATATTGTCTGATACAGTGCTTGAAGACGAGCCCCCTAGGTTGGAAGGCACTCAAAATACAACAATGGATGCAAACATACTATCATGAAGATAGTACACGACCAGGCAATGTTTCATTCTGTAATACCAAAGGTCACCATGACTCAAAGCCGACTCGACAGTTAACCAACAACAACAACAAAGGCAAAGAGTGTCCCATTTAGAGATCAGAAGCAGTGCAGGGGTGGCTAATGTAACTATGGAAGGTCCTGCAGGAGATGCAATACAGTGGCGCTTGCATTTCAAATGAGGAGTCTCGGTTTTATTCTTTAGGCAGTGAGAGATAATTAAAGAACTTTCAACAAGAGACAGGCTTGTGTGATCAGATTTCTATTTTAAAAACTCACTGTGGCTGATGTGCAAAAGATTGATTGGAGTGGGGGAATTTTTGAAGATATTTCATCAATCCATGTGAAAAGACAAAGTGAGATAGAGATAGATGAATGAATGGATGAATGAATGGATGGATGAATGGATGGATGGATGAGATAAAGTTTTAAAAGAAAGTAGTGCCTTAGAGAATAGACTCGGGCCCCTAACTCTCCAGGATGAGGAAAAAAGCAGTAGGTAGACAAGTTGGTATTGTTGAATAACCGTTGCCATCAGGTCGATTCTGACTCATAGCTACCCTATAGGACAGAGTAGGACTGCCCCATAGAGTTTCCAAGGAGCACGTGGTAGATTCAAACTGCCAGCCTTTTGGTTAGCAGCCATAGCTCTTAACCACTACGCCACCAGGGTTTCCATTTGTTGAATAGAAAAGGTAAATTGGGAAACATTGAAGAGAAATAATTGACACAAAAGGATAAAGCTGAATGCAGAGATTATGTAATGCAGAAGGACTAGAGATGTCAAGTGGGGCGGACAATAAAACATGGTATAAAAATCCTGTCACAGTCAAGATGGAAACAATGAAACTAAAGCATTAAAGTAAATTCTACTTAGGTGAATGGCTTGCTATCCAGAGAGCAGGTGATTATTGAAGGATAGAGAGAGTCATCCAAGCTATTTACTTGGTGTTCTGGAAGACAAATTACTATTTTGCCTCAAAGAAAAGAATAACTAAAAAGTTCCTAATTTTATCATCAGAACATTAGTCAACACAAAAAGATCAATGACATGGAAAGCTCAGGTAAAATGAGACAAAACATACTTTTATCCTGGATGGAAACTCCAGTCCCAGATATTGTATAACAGTCTAGTTAGACCTTTGCTCACTCACCCGTTAGATAATCAACAAGTGGTATTTGAATAAAACGTTCAGTTGATTTTTATTACACTCTTGATCACACCTGCCACTAAGCTAATATAAAGCCTTGTGAAGTGTCTGCTACCAGTGTGGGGCTTTCTCATAAATGTCATTGATTTTCCAGAGGTGATAGAAACTTCTCTAAAGAAGATAAAGAACTAAAATCCCCTCAAACCAACCGCGGAAAGGAAAATACTGCAAAGGAAAATGCAGGACAACAACAAAGATCTCCATATCAACACGGTTATCACCAGTCCTACTAGGAGGAGGTCAATGGTCAGCTTTTGTTACTCATTTATGTTACCTGCCTGGCCAAACAAAGCATTTTAGTTTGCAATCTCTGATTTATAGCTCAGGAAGCCCCCAGGGAAAATTGTAAATGTCACATTCTGACACAGTAGGTCTGGGAAGGAGTCTGAGATTCTGCCTTTCTAACAGACCCTCAGGCGATGCCAATGCTAGCACAGGTAGAGTAGCGGGGACATGGCCAACACTTTTGTATGAAGAGATGAAATTGATGTTTTTCAAATATTCATCTCTTCACAACTGAAATTACCTATATTCAAAATGTCCTAATCAATTAAATTGCACTGCAGTTGTATAATTAATTTGCCACAGATATTTTTATTAAGTACTTGCTAATATGCCAGGCACTTTGCTAGATGTTAGGGATATAGGAGTCCCTGGGTAGCACAAACAGTTTGCACTGAATTACTAAACAAAAGGTTGGTGGTTTGAACTCACCCATAGGCACCTCGGAAGACAGACCTGGTGACCTGCTTCCAAAAGATAACAGCCTTGAAAACCTTACGGAGCAGTTCTACTCTGCACATGTGGCTCACCATGATTCAGAATCAACTTGATGGCAACTAACAACAACAGGGATATAACAGCAACCAAACAAAATTTTTCCTGCTCTTGGAAACTGCATTCTAGTGGGAGAGATAGATATTAATCATATAATCAGGAATATATAGATACAAACACAAAATAATGTGTTAGGAAATAAAAGTACATAGTACTCTGAGTTGGTAGTAGACAAATCTGACTTAGTCTAAAAGAATGAAGGAATATTTTCTCAAGAGGCTGACATCTGAAGACTAAGTCTCCTAATAGGCTAAGGAATATGCAGAGTGCAGATGGGGGTAGTAGCTATTAAGAAATTACTTGTAGTTTGCTAATTGCAAAATACAGACTGGATATGAAGAGTGATTGAGAGGGAGAATGTCAGGAGCTGAGAATCACCCTGTAGGTATTTTCCATGCATGAACTCCATTTCAGAGTCGTAGGAATAAATCCTTGGGATATTTATTAAAAGGACGAGCACTGTTAAATGTGTGTTTGTCTTATT